GCACCGGAGCTTCTGTACGACACTGAATTGTTCTCAATATAAATAGCTGAACACAGTTGACTTTTATGACGTTATGTTAAACATCATCCAGAAAGCACAGTTCCTTCTTTTGCTCACTTACGAGCAGAGTCAGCTATGGATAAAGAAAGAAAAACCTGCTAGGAAGTTATACTTAACAAGCGACTTGTATGCAGGTAGAGATCCTTTAGAAGGCTGTAAAGTCCATGTGGAGTTTCAATTAACATGACCAAAGCAGAATTTATTCAGGCAGAAGTAAAAAGTAATCATTTACAATCAGTAATAGACTTGTGCAGTGTCACAAGTTCAGCAGGTTAATTGCAAGTGATTGCTGGATGTTTAGAATGCAGAGCCAGGCACATGTCTGGCTGGAAAAAATGAGGGGATTAAAAGTGGTTGGAACACTCTTGATTTTACATGAAATCCATCTCTAAAAGAAACTTATCTTTAGGTGCTGTTGTGTGTTGAGAGCAATGTGCAACTGTAATGCCATTCTTTATCTAGTATCTCCCATGTCAGTTCCACCAGCAGAAAGGAGGGCTAAGAGGATGTCAGGCAAGAAGCAAACAGGAGTGGGGGCTTCCGAGCACCACTCCAGTCTGGCACAACTACTACTGCAGCCAGGCTCAGCCGTGGCAATAGCAATAGACATGAAGAACAATATCATAGATGCCACTGTGTTGGTAGCATTAAGTATAGATTCAGGCTGTAACTGGCAGGCTTCTTAAATTATTCCTCTTTTGATTCTGTAATCCCACAAGTGCCTCTGCCACTTAAGCCAGTGACAGCTTGATTCTCGCAAGGATCAATTCCCCAAAAAGCTTTCAAAGCTTCCACAAGCTTGTCTGACATACAGATGAATCCCTTCTTTCCTCTCCCAAATTACATAAATCACAGTGGCTCAACCAAAAGAAGGAACGGCTTTTTCATCTTCAGAGAGCCCTCCTTATTGCTCCAACTTTGCTCCTTTTGTCTTTCCCAGCACCACCACTGCCTGCCCTTACTAAGTTGCTCCTTAAGCACAAGGATCACTGGAGCAACAGAAAGCCTGGCAGAAGTCTGCACGGCAGCAAGCTCAGTGAACATCTTGATGTCTAGGTCCTGCCCTGGCTTCTTTTCTTCCTTTGTCTGTGCTTGAAATCCCACTTCACAAAGTCCTCTGAGGAAATCAGAAATAGCACTGCCCACCACATAAAGCGTTTGTTGTCTTCCCTGTGCTGAGCACAGGAAGGGACTGTTCCATAACTTCCACTGTTAAACAACTGAATTCCTCCTGTTTACTGAGGACAGGCCTAGTAAGTGGGCATCATAATGAATGCAAGATGCTGTTAAAACAATTCATAGATATACTTAATATCAGGTAGGCTTGTCAGTGTGGAGGGAGAAAACACCACCTTACCTCTGTTAAACTGAAAATAAATGATAGGAGATGGTGACAAAATAGCAACAAAGAGACTCAATAAATAGTTTTGAATCAACCTCAGATACAACCAATAAAAATCAAGTTTGTAACACAGGGAACAAAAGCCTATTGAAGCTGTACAGAGAAGGACTCCAGATGAGATGGCAGAGAGCTCTTTTTTTTTTTTTAGAGTGAACAGAAAGGGACACAAACAGCTCTCTTGGAGTCCCAGATATAAACATTTCTCAGAAACAGCCATTAGATTCTGACCCTCTGCTCAGACAAACCAGCACGTGATTCTGTGCTCAAGGGACGGTGAAACAATTGGGTGAAGCAACAGAGGAAGCTCAGGCTTTACAAAAAGGAGATGTCAGTACCTAGTTATCCACTCACTCTCAAAAACCAGGCCAGGCTGTCTGTATTATGTCTTATAAAAACAGATTTCCATACATAGATTTTCAGTTTGTCAGGTGTAGAGCTTACTCTTAGAAAGTACTAGAAGTCGATTGACCAAAACAGAAAAAGGAGATGTAAATTCAAATCAACAAAGCCTCTGCTAAACTCATGGGTACACTGTGTGGTTCAGTTAAACATGCATTTAAGAGTCTGATTAAGTTCTTTTAAATCATATGTTTAATTATCAAATTTAAATTTTTAAAATTTCATTTTAAATTTTTGCTATTTTGAATGCTTTGCTTAAAAAAAACTAGCATTATTTTATACCAGCACTCTTACAGAGTTTATTGTATGTTGGAGTACTGCTCTTTCTTTGGAACCCTTACGTCTGATCAACTTTATTGATCCTTTCCAGATTCTTTTCCCAGCTTCAGATATCTTTTATGTAATTCATGAATTTAAGCACATACTTTTATTTAAAAACAGCAATTTAAATTTTGTAAATGAAAAATTACTGTTTTTTTTAGCTTACAAGCAGAAGAAGCAATGCCAGGAAAATCTTGTTTCTAATTCACCTTTTCCTGCAAGCAGAGTTATGGAACCTAATATTTAATCAGAATTTGGCTACATTAACTGAAATGAGGTCATATCAAGCTACATTAGCATGAAATCAGGCCTGTAGCATTGCAGCAAACTTAACAGTCACAGTGGCATATCTCATTTACTGACAGGTTTTGCAGTCTCTCAGGCTGAACTGAGTTTATTAGTGAGGAATGTTGGATTGATATCTCAGGTGTTCCTATATGGAGACATAGCTTCTTACTTATATTTAAGTAGCTATGTAAAGTCTCTATAGCCATCATTTTCACTCTTTAAATTATCCTTCATGTCACTGGCAGGGATTCTTTCATTGCTATTTTTAAAAATAAATACTGTATCCACCTCAAAGAGAGACTGAAACCAAGGCATGGTTAGCCTTAAGACATCTGCAGAAGTTTGTCTGTGGCTTTAGCTACTATATGATGAAGATGACAGAAAAGTTGGAGTTTAGCTGCCTGCTTAAGAGAAGCCATGTACATCAATGAAATTACCACTCAAAGACCCACATGCCACCCAACTGCCAGAGAGGGAAACATTCTTTTTGTGATTCGGCAGGTCTGCTAGTCCATTTAACATATTCAGGGACAGACAGAGTTCTCAGTCACTGGACCAGCTGGTGCACCAGTGGCTCCTGCTTTGTCCTTTATGGACACTTACACTCGATACAACATTTCACACATGCCAAAGGGCCTGCAGAAAGGACACTTAAATGTCCCATCTCATGGCAAAGATGAGCTCTGTAAGCAGGCTGGGCGCTGGAAGGAGAACAGGGTTGGACAAAGAGCCAGGAATGGTGATCTGTAGGCAGCAGGCACCTGGCGTCACT